AGTGGCACGGGGGCCCAGCGTGTCCCAGGCCTCAGGGCGGAGGGCCAGCGGCACGGGGCCCCAGCATGTCACAGGCCTTAGGGTGGAGGGCCAGCAGCACGGGGCCCCAGCATATCACAGGCCTCAAGGTAGAGGGCCAGTGGCACGGGGGCCCAGCGTGTCCCAGGCCTCAAGGTAGAGGGCCAGTGACACGGGGCCCCAGCGTCTCAATGGGAGGGAAGGGCCAACCCCCCACATCCTCCCCGGTGTCCAGACCTGTGTGTCTTGGGTTGGGGGAAGGGGGGTGGGCGCCAGGTGAAGGTTCCTGATCAATGAGTCTGCTGTGTCCCGGAGCTGGTGCTGTGGCAGAGGGCGGTGCCCAGGTGTGAGCGCGTGTGATGACTGGCTGGCTGCCAGGCATAGCCCGGCCGGTACCTCCTTTTCTGCACAGAGTCCCGGCCTAATGTGACGTGACAGCATCCCTGCCGGTGTCTCGCCCAGTGAGCCCTCCATGCTGCCAGAGTTCCTCGGCAGGGAAGGCTGACTTCCACCCAGTACACACGTCTGCACACGTCTGTCCCTGTGACTAGGAGAGTGGATGGGAAGGCTCCTAGGGCAAGGACACCCTGTCGGGGCTCCACGCTGCCCTCTGCTGCTGGGGAGTGTGGTTGGTGGCAGTTCCCTCAGCCTTCTCTCGGCTGCGCGGTCCCAGTGTGCACATGCCATCATGCCGCACAGGTGGCGTTGTCAGGCTGGCCACAGTGTTTTTGTTCTTTGTGGGTGCACTGCTGGTCCTTGGTGTAGGGTACAGACCTCTCCCCAGGCCGAGGCTGCTACTCCCTGCCAGCTGCCTCACGTCTGTCCCAGGCTTCCTGGTGCCTGCTCTTCTGGCCTGGCTTGTGTGCCACTGCCCCTGGGCTCTGTGCTGCCCCCCGTCTGGACTGCAGCCACACGTGGAGCTGGCCCGCCTGCACGCTAGCCTCGAGTCTCTGCTGGTTGCACAGGGTGCCCCATCCAGGCAGCCCTGGGGCTGGTGGCCTTCAGCATCCATCACCCTGCACAGACCAGAGAAACCCGCCATGGGCAGGACTGTCCACCTTCAGGGTCTGAGGAGGCTGCCAGATGCTGGCAGGAGGTGCAGGGTGCCTCCATTTGCCTTGCTTGGGAGGGTGGCCCTGGCTCCCTGTCCCTGCACTTCTTTCTGATCTCTGTTGATCGGGCCCTGTCACATAAAGAGTGCAGCCTGCTGAAGCTCCCCTGAGCCCTGGGTGCTGCTGGGTCCCAGCTCTGCTCCCTGCCCCTTTGTGTGCACCACTCCCTCCATACATCTTGGTGCAACTCCTGGCCCCATCCTCCCAGGTCAGCATCATGGTCCAGGTCCCCAGACTGGTTTTTGGGAGCAGAAGCCAAGGGGGTGTGTGGGGTGTAGGATGCATTGGGGTCGACACCTGGGGAGGGAGGGCGGGGTAAGGGCAGACACAGGACTGGGCAGCAGGAGGCATTCACCCAGGCGGTGCTGGCCCATCATCAGCCCCCCTTGGGTGAGGTTCTCTTCATTGAGGCCTGAAGGAGCTGGTGGGGGCTGCTACCCACATGGAGGCCAGCAGGCCACGCCCTGAAGAGTGTCCAGGGGTGTGCCTCCCATCTGCCACGGCCCCTCCACTCCCTACAAATGCCCAGCAGGCACTTTCCAGTTGGGGGCTGCCCCTTGCCCCCCGCGTGGTGTCCCTGTTCCGTGAGCTGTGGCCCCAGGAGTGGCCGAGCACCGTCTGCTGGGGCCTGGTGTGGCGGCTGTGGATGCTGCTGTCTCTTGCCAACCCCTGTGGTTCCTTTCCAGTACTACGCCGAGTGCCACGGCGTCATCTACGTCATCGACTCCACCGACGAGGAGAGGCTGTCTGAGTCCAAGCAAGCATTTGGTGAGCGGCACAACCTCGGCTGGCATTGGAGGCAGAGATGCCAGGCGTGGGTGGAAGGTGGAGGTGCTGGGGGCCAGGTCGTCCCTCATGTCCCTGTCCCCCCCCCCAGAGAAGATGGTCACAAGTGAGGCGCTGGAGGGTGTCCCCGTCCTGGTGCTGGCCAACAAGCAGGACGTGGAGGTGAGCTGGACAGGCCCTTCTCCAGGAGGCTGTGGGCATAACCCCCCGCACGTGTCAGTAGGCCCCCCACCCCCTGTTGCAGGGCAGCAATGGTTGTGTGTTTTGGGGATCCATGGCCTTCCTCAGGCACCCCAAGGCCACCTGCCCGAGTGCACAAAGCCCTTCTCGGCTGTCACCCAGGACCCCCAGGTGCTGCCCTTCCTTGGCTCCTTCCTGGGCAGGCCCACCAGCTTTCCCTTTGCAGCAGGCTAGGGCAGTCCTGTCTGCAGGCCGCTTCCGCCTTTGTATGCTGTCATCTCGGGTGGTGGGGGAAGAAAGCTCTGGAGAAGGGCTGATCCCCCAGCCCTGGTGCCCATGAGAGGCTTCGGGGCATCCAGGGTGGCCCCTGTGCCCAGCCAGCCCCTGGGGGCACCACCGGCTGCTGCTCCTGGGACCACTGTCACCAGCATCCCTGCCAGCGGGGCCCCACCTCAGCGGCCACGTGGGGACTGGAGGTGGGACAAGTGTGGAGGGTAGAGGACCATGCCATGCAGAGGGGCCGGGCCTGACCTCACGGTCTCACCTCCCCCAGACCTGCCTCTCGATCCCCGACATCAAGACAGCCTTCAGCGACTGTACCTCCAAGATCGGGCGGCGGGACTGCCTGACCCAGGCCTGTTCAGCACTCACGGGGTGAGTGGGGGCCCAGGCAGATGAGGGGTGTGTGTGGGGCCCCTGTGCTCATGCCCACTGTCTCCGCAGCAAGGGCGTGAACGAGGGCATCGAGTGGATGGTGAAGTGCGTCGTGCGCAATGTCCATCGACCACCACGGCAGAGGGATATCACATAGGTGTGAGCACCGCTGGGGGACAGTTCGTCAGCAGCTGCTGTGGGCGCTCCCTGCCAGGGCCAGGCCCGGTGTGCTTTGTCTTCTGGCTTCTATATTTGCTTTGTGTTTCCTCTAAGACAAAATTCTTTGTGTCCACAGAAATGTAGACATCTGGAGGCTTTTGCGGGGGTGGGGGCAGGGGCTCAGCTGCTTCCTGATCACCACCCAAGCTGTTTCCAACTAGGGGTGCTGCCACAGGGCCTTGTGACACCACTCTGCTGGCGGCCGCCCCTTAGTCCCCCTGCCTGCCTCAGGGTTGGGACTGGGGTGTGAGGAATGGGGTTTTCCGGAGCTGCAGGCGGCTCAGAGTGGCGTGACTCACTATGCCACCCTGCAGGCCGCAGCCTCAGGCCTCGGGTGCCCTGGATCCATCTGTCTACCTTGCCCCCTGATCCGTACCCTCACCATGGGGGGCCTCAGGAGGGGAAGGGTCCCTTGGGGATGGTTTGACTGGTGTGGAAAAGCTGGGAGCTTGGGCTGGGGGGGTCTTAGTGCCCCTACCCCGCCTGGTAGGTTGGGGGGTACCCAGAGGACACACAGCCCTCCCTCTAAATGCCCAACCGTGATCTGGACACAGTGTTGGGGAGGTGGGTCCTCACGGGACCGGCGTGATGTGCCAGCGTGCATTCCTGGTAAGGGGGCATTCTTGGAGGCACCCTGAGCCCCATTATGGGAGAGCAATGCTCCCACCCTGTTGTCTGTGGGTGGGACAGCTAGAACCCCCTTCCGGAGTCCCTCCTTCACTCTGTCCCCAGGCCCTGCCCTTGAAGGGCTGGCAGGGCCTGGTGGGCCAAGGCTGGGTCTGGCCAGGATCGAGGGTGAGAAATAAAGCCGGTGTGAGCAGCTCTGTGCTCGTTCCTCAGTGGCCCAGGCTGATTTGGGAGGTGGGGTGTGTGTGTGTGTGTGAAGGGTGGGACCCCACTGTCAGCACTGGGACCTTAGCATGAGGCTTTGCCCTGGGTTTGGGGCCCCAGGCTCCAGAGGGGATGGGCGGGTGAGGCCTGGGGCTCCCCCAGGGAGGCTGGGGGCTGCTCAAGTCAGGTCATAGTCATGCTGGACGCTTCTGTGATCCAGAAGTTGCTGGGTGTGTGAGCGAAGATGAGTCAGGGCTGGGGTTAGGGGTGTATTGGACTGCACGAGGTATCTGGGTACTGAGGCCCCAAGCCTTCCCTGGGTGCTGATTCTGACGGTCCTTCTAGGGGCCTTGGGGAGGGGCTGGGTCTCCAGCCATAACAGGACCAGCTGGAGGGGGGACTCGAGTCTCCAGGATACTCTAGAACCTTCTGGAGGCTGTGTCCCAACCTAGCCCAGAGGGGAAAAGCCTTGTTTCCCAGAAAGCACGCGGAGTACTCAGGGTAGCGGAGTCCCTTCCTGGAAAATTCCCAGCTGGCTCAAATGAGCAGACTGGGCGGGGGCAGGGAGGCAGTATGGGGTGCCTGACCCTTTTCAGCACTGCCCAAGACACTGAGAGCTGGACTGGGAGTCCCTGCATGCCCTGGGGCGCCGGCCTTGAGGGACCTCGGAGGGAGGCACTGGGCGGCCAGAGGATTCAGCAGGGGATGCCACACCCACCACCCACCAGCCCTGCTGCCGCCTGTCTGATGCCCAACCCAGGTATCTGCCCCTGAAGGCAGCCAAGCGGAAGGGCCCCACTCGGGAAGCCCCAGGGTGTGGACAGGTAGGGCGCTGGCCCGGTGCCTCCACCGCCTTGGGAGCACACGCGTGAGACTTCGCAGCCACAGTGATACAAATGGCTTTATAAAAATAAATCATTAAGGCTATGGCCTGGTGCGTTGTCGGGGTCGGGGCAACCCGTGGGCAGCGGACTTGAAAGTGGGGTCGGGAGAATAAATACGGCCGGAGTGGGGGGTTGTCAGCGCGTGGGAAAGAAGCGGGCGCGGACGCTGCGCTCCAGCCCGGCCAGCCTGGCGTCCCGCAACGCCAGCAGTAGCCGCGCCCCCAGCGCCCTGTCACGCGCGCCCAACTCCGCCAGCTGCCGCCGCAGTTTCAGCTGCAAGGCGGCGCGACCCTCTTCCCGCGGCGGCGGCCGCCTCCGTCCTCCTGGGCCCACCAGGGCCTGCTGTAGCCGCAGAAGCCTCTTAAGGGAGATATCCTGGAATGCCACAAAATCCAGGAGGGCGCGCTCACACTCCTCGTACCCTGCGGGGGGCGAGGGGCTCGGGTCAGTACCCGGGGCACTGACAAGCCCCACTGCGGCCCTCTCGGGGCTGACCGCCGCGGGCAGGAGCGCTGGACAAGCAAAGGTGGAAAACTGAGCCGATCGGCGCAGGAGTGTGTCTGTGTGTGTGTGTGGGGGGGTCGCTGGTCAGGCCCGAGGGCAGGACTAGCCACGGGATCCATCCAGGAGCTGAGCCGGCCCGCCGGGCAGCGGTGCTAAGGCCATGCGGTGGGGCCGTGTCTGGCCGCGGCGGAGTAGCGAGGAGGCTTCCGGGCTGGAGGTGTGGTTAAGGGGAAAGCGGGAGGGGGCGGCGCCAGGGTGGGGAGTCGTGGGGGTGGGGGGCGTGCTTGGGGCTACTGCGAGGGGCTAGGCGGCCGCCGCGGGAGAGATTGGAGCAGAGGAACGGCGGGCCTGGGGCTTTGAGAGGATCTGCCACCGCCACTGTTTAAACGCTCTGGGCCTCAGCCTCCCAGTGCGAGGTGGAAGGTGCCTCACCTGCCTCTGAGGCAGCACGGGGGCCCAGAAACCACCTGGCGTGCTTCCTGCTCCAGCTTTCACTCCAGAGACTGCTGGCTGGGGGCGGAGCTCACCTGGCTCCACGGTGCTGAGCGAGAAGTTGAGGCAGCTGGTGCACAGGGCGTCATGGAAGGAGGAGCCGGCCACGTTGAGGGTCAGGCCCAGGGCCGTGCAGTTGCGGTGGGGCTGGCAGCGCTCTGAGCTCGAGCTGCTGGCCGAGAAGGTGCCTAGGGGACAGGGCTGGCACTGCGTGTTCTGGCTGGGGGTGCCTAGGGGGACACGGGAGGACGGGGTCATGGGAACTGCTGAGCGGGCGCCACTCCACTCTGCGTCCCCACTCGCCCAGGCACCCACCGGGAACGACCACGCCGGCGCCGGGCAGGCACTGTGCGTGCTCCAGGCAGAAGCCAGCGTGCGCGAAGAAGCCGGGCTGGCAGCGGCAGGCTCGGTTGTGCGTGGCGTTGCACGGCCGCGCCTCCTCCTCGCGCTCCCCACAGATCACGTTGCAGTAGCGGCAGCGCTCCAGGTAGTTCCAGAACTCCGTATAGTGGCGCGGCGGGCACACGCCGCACGCCGTGGGGCTCCCCCGGCTGCAGGGCCTCTGCACGAAGGTGCCCGGCGGACACTGCCCGCACGCCAGCCACTCGCGCGTCTCCGCATCCCGCCACGGGAAGGTGGGCGCATCGGTCGCCGCACCGCGCACTGCCAGCGCCAACAGCAGGACGGGCAGCGCGCACGGCAGGGCCTGGCCAGTCCTCTCGGTCCCCCTCATGGTCCTTCCTCGAACGATTGTCTGCGGCCTCCAGGGGCACCTTGGTGCGGGGAGGTGTGGGGCTCTCTAGGGCCGCGAATACAGCCCGCCTGGGGCCCGCCCGCTTCCCCGAACGCCCAGCTAGGCCCGGATCCAGCCCTACCTGCCCTCGCCCAGCGCGCCCAGAGCACGCGCCTCTCGGGCAGCGTCATTTATGGAGGGGGGGAGGGCGGGGCCGACTGGCCGGCCCCGCCCCCACTGGAAACTCTCCCCGCGGGGGAGAGGGACGTGACCGCCAGGGCTGGGCGGCGACCTAGTTTTCGGCAGTGTCGCAGCCCCCTCACCCCACCGCTCCCCGGAGCCCCTGTCCTAGGGAGCGGTTCCTGGAAGGGATGAGGGCGTCTCTGCAGCCCCTCCTCGGTGGAGGCCCTACATTTACCATCTTCCATCAGGGATGACCCACGACTGGGGGGAGGGGCGGGGGGCACTCTCGGGGCTTGTTTGCCTGGGGTAGATTGGGAAGGGGACCCTGCCAAGGGCCCACCCCACCCGACCACAAGAGGAGGGGGCCCAGAGATGCCAGTGGAGGCACCGCCAACAGCTTTATTCAGAGGAGTTCCGGCCATCAAAGGCAGGCAGGGGTCACACACAAGGGGCCAGTGAGCACCCCTAAAGGATGACCGCCTGCTCCCCTCCTTCCAGGCCTGGGCTCAGATGTGAAACCCCTGGGGGTTCCAGCGCAAGCTGGCATCCAGACAGTGTTCTGGGGAGACCCTTCTGGTGACCACAGACCCCAGGGTGGCCCCGGGCCACCTTGCCACCCCACCTGCCTGAGGCCCGTGGTGGGCCCAGCCCACTGTCCTGTGGGTTCTTGTTCAAAGAGATGCTGGTGCTGGGTCCAAGCCAGAGCGGGCCAGAGAGGTAAGTGTTGGAGCAGGGTCCCTCAGCATGGGGAGCTCACGGGGACACTGCCCAGAAGACCTGCGAGAGGCTTTGCTTCCTGGCGGCGGCATGACAGGCTGGGCAGGTTCTAGAGGCCTGCGGGGACACAGAGGGTTCAATGGACAGGCTGCCCTGCACCCGGGGCGGGGGGGAGGCTCGTGCCGCGGGCGGGATGAGGGCCGACCTGGGCGGGATGGGTGCCTCATGCCCTGGGAGGGATGGGGGCCGACATGGCGGGATGGGGCCTTGTGTCCCGGGGAGGGGGCCTACCTGGAGGTGCTGGCGCCAGCAGGCCTGGCAGCGGTGGAAGTCGCAGTCAGGGCACCGGAAGGTCACCTCATCCTCTGCCCCACAGCCGGAGCACGTGGGACCCTCCACACGGGACTGTGGGTGCACCGGGGCCTCGGCACAGGCCCCCTCCCCTGACCGACCCCACGGGGACTCTGACTGGCCACAGGGGGGCCCAGGGAGCGCCTGGCTGGGCCCTGGGGGGACAGCATCGGCTGCCATGCTCTCGGCCGGCCTCTGTTCCCAGCAGGAAGAAGTCTTGCTCTGGACTTTGTCTGGTTTCTCAGACTGCGGGAGGCCTGGGGACAGAGGATGGAGTCCGAGGAGGACCCTGGGTGCTGTCCACCCTGCACAACGGAGAGGGGATCCCGGGGTGATGGGGCTGGGGGAGGCAGGAGCATCAGGGCAGCACACCCTACCCAGTCTGGCAGGTACCCCGGCCCCGTGAGCGGGCTCAAGGCCAGGAGGCCTGGCAGGGCTGGCGTCCGTGGCTCCCGGGGGCTCCGTGCCCCCACCTGGGGCGGGCTGGCCCGTCAGGTCTGTCCACATCTGCCGGAACCGCTGCTGGTGGTGCGGGCGCACAAACATGCCAAATCCTGCGGAGTGGGGTGCTCAGCCCTGATGCCTCCCCCAGACCACCCCCTCCCCCCGCCCAGCCCCCGCGGCCACTTGCTCTGCAGCAGTGGGAAGTCCTCAGGCTTGGCAGTGGTGAGCGCAGCCACCACGGCCACCACTTTCTCATAGTCGTCGTCCTTCTTGTATGTGGTCAGCGCTGCCAGGAGCTGGCAGCAGCCTTCAGATCCCAGGGCCTTTCGGGCATCTGCCAGGTAGGCAGTCGCGGCGGACCGGCCCCGCTGGCCTGATCCCAGGCGGCTGCTGGGTTCTCCTGGCAAGAGAGGACCAGCTGGAGGACTACGTCAGGGCATAGGGACCTGGAGCACCCCACCTACTTCTGTGGACTCAGGGGCCAGAACCCCCAGGCTGGCACTCCAGAGCAACCCCCCATGGGGGAGGGCAGAACCAAAACGGACCCCTCCATGGAGGCTGGCGCCCGGAGGCTCTTCTGGCACCCCAGGGTCTCCAGCCTACAGGTACCTGTGGCAGGAGGCCTGGTGGCCAGGTGGGGCCCACCCTGGTTCAGGTGCCCTCTGGGATCCAGATGCCTGGCTGCGCCCTCAGTCAACTTGGGGTCAGGCTCCCACCTTCCTGGGGAAACACAAACACTGAGGTCCCGTAGCACTTCTGGGCCTGAGCCGAGAGAGAAACACCTTGCGTTCCCCAGGGTCTGAAAAGTCCCCACAGGGAGGAGGCGGGGCTGCAGCGGGAGCCTGGGCCTCAGGCAGCGGGGCACAACACCCGGGCACACAGCAGGACTGCCGCCTCAGAGGCCACAGAGGGCAGGCATGATGGCGCCCAGGGCCACCACCAGGTACCAAGCCTGGGGTAGAGGAAAGCTGCTCTCAGGCTGCCCAGCCAGGCCCCCTGGGGGAGACACCTGTCCTCGGGGAAACCCCTGCCCAGGTGTGGGCCGTCCATCCACCAGCAATGGCAACAGGTGTTGCAGCTCAGGCAGCGCCCGGCCCAACTCCAGGTACAGACAGGGGTATGGACAGATGGGGGTAACGTGCAGGGCCCGGCTCACCGCTGGGGCCGGGGGCTGGCTGCACTCGCTGCCCTCGAGGAAGGCTGTGCTCCAGCCGGTAGCCGCAGCCTTGGCCTGTCAGCTGGAGGCAGGCCTCCTCAAACTGCTGCTTGTGGTGAGGGCGCACAAACTGGTAGAGCCCTGTGGGGAGGGGCACCAGGCTGAGCACCCTGCCCTGCTCCTTTTCGGGGGACACCCTCCGACTTGACCTCTTCCCACCACCCCATGTCACCTCGGAGCAGGCTATGCTTCCTGGGGTCGTCCGCGAAGAGGGGCCCGAGGCAGGCAGCCAGGGCGGTGAGGTCGTCGGAGCCCTTGTAGTCCCTCAGGGCCCGCGTGAAGGTGTCGAAGCTGGCCTGGCTCAGGGCCTGCTTCACAGCCACCATGAATAACTTAGCTCTGTCCACCTGCCCACCAGACGCCGGCTCCTGCACCTCCTGGGGACACAGGCAGGCACAGGTCAGGCCAGCCACAGGCTCCAGGGCCCAGAGAAGTGCCAGCGCCAGCCCGCCACCCCAGCCCCCGCGGGCAGAGCAGACGCTGGTCGACATGAACCTGGGCTTCCCGACCATGCCTCCATCCCGCCATCAGCTGGTCCCTCGGGCCCGGGGCAGCAGTGGGTCTGCCCTGCCCCCGTGGTGCCCATAGCAGCCCCAAGGCCACACTCACTCCTGACGGCGGCGGGGGAGGGGAGCCACGGGAAGAGAACGCGGGGTCACCTGCAGGCAGTGAGGGGCTGGCTGCGAGTACGGCCCGACACAGGAAGCTTGGGGACCACAGGCGGCTTCCAGGTGATGCTCTGCCCACACCCGCGATCCTGGGCTGGGGGCACCGTCTACTCCCCATCCAGCCCTGCACAAACACCCCTGGCTCAGCGTCACCCTTAACTTGCCCCTGCACCCCATTTCTTCTGCACACCCCAGCCCTGACACTGGACCCTCAACTAGGAACTGGAACAGAGAAAACCAAGATAGGGAGCGGTCCAGCCCCCGGGCCTCTCTGCCCACACGTGGGGACGCCCCACTCCTCCTTCTTGCCTACATGAGACAACCAGCCTGAGCATCCACCCTGTCCACAAAGCGGGTGCTGAGCCGCTGCACCCCTCATCCCTTGCTGGGCAGGGTTCCCGCAGGCCCAGGCACCTTGACAAGCCCAGGGACTGTACCTACCATCCCTCCCCCAGCTCGGCCCAATCCTTCCCAGAAGCCAAGAGGACAAAGGCAGTGGCACCCGGGGCTTTCCCAGGAGTTGGGGGGCTTCCTGGATCAGATTATAACTGAACTGCTCATAACTGCTTTCATCTGAGGCCAGAACAGACAAACCGCTTGGCTGGGTGTGCCACTCCAGTGTCCACAGCCAGGCTATCGCCCACGGCTGTGCAGGCCCCTGATCCAGCGCGCCTGAGGGCTAGGGCCAATGGCCAGCTCGGGACACGAAGGGGCTCTGTGAACCCCCATGGGTGCACGCACAAACCTCTGAGCCCACTGATGGCCCCTGGTGTCACCAGCGTGGGATGCTGAGGGGGCACCCAGTGACAGGCGGCAGGAAGCCCACTGCCTGCCTGAGTGCCCTTGCATAAGAGCACCACAAAAACCAAACCCAAGTCCAGGGACGCCGCTGGAGCCGCCCGTGGTTTACAGGAAGTGTCAGGGTCTGGGATGTGCTCACCCCCCAGGCTGCCGTTGCCCCCCCACAGGGGTGGGAAACGCTAGGCCACCAACCAGGGTGTCCCCATGCACACGTGGGAGAGGTTACAAGTGATGTGAGAACGTGACAGAACTGTCGGCTGGCCCTCTCAAGGGTGTCAACAGGGGACAGAAGGACGACGAGCCGGCTGTCACCATGCAGGGCCCTGGATGGGCAGGGACACGGGCCTTGGGGACTGCTGCGTGGCCTGTGGAAGCGTGTCCATCCTGTCTCTGGGGTCTGATGGCTGTGCGGGGGGGATGGTGGTACAGTGGTCACTCAGGACCACTGCACGAAGGGGATGGGAGCCTGTGCTCTTCACGACCTTCCTGTGAGGCTGAAATGACCTCAGTTAACATCCACAGGAGTCCGAGGAGACAGGCCACCGAGTGTCTCCTGGGTGCCAGGTGCCTGGTCCCCCAAACAAATGAGAAGACATGTTTTGAGACTGGGGACACGGGGCAGGCTGAGCCTGGAGGGCGTCGGGGAGCCTTCAGGTTGTGGGGCAGAGCAGTGCTCCTGGGAACAATGTTCAAACCCAAACTCATCTGTGACGAAACACGCCTGGAATCTGTTTTAAATACCCCAGCCAAAGCAAGCGTGGGGACGCCCGTCTCTGTCGGGGTCCAGGTCCCCCGCCACTCCGCGAGGCTGTGCTGGAGAACCACCACCGTCAAAGTGGAGATGGCAGCAGCAGGGCCCCCGTGCCATGTCCCCGCACCAGCCCCGCTTTCCCTCCCTGCCTCCTGCCTCTCAGCCCCACCAGTCCCACGAGGAGGGGCTCAGGGTGGGGGGCTCTGATGGGAGAAGGGGGTGTGGGTGTGCGGGGTGGTGTTGGTTCTGACTGGACAGGGGACTCTGATGGGGGAGGGTAGGGGGGTGTATGGAGGTGGGGGCGGGTTGGTTCTGACAGGGCTCTGTGGGGAGGCCTGGCCTGGCTCACACCTCTGCCTGGCCTCCCTCCCTCCCTGCCTCCTCGAGGGCCTCTCTTTCCAGGTCCCCCCAACCCTCCGCCTCCCCAGACCCTGGAGAACGGGGAAGGACGACTCTCCTCCTGGCTCTGAGCCACACAATTTTCTCTGAAATCCCCTCAGTGCCAATGGGGCTCCAGAAAGTCTCTGAGCCCCCAGTTCTGCCCACCCCCAACCCCGGCTGCCTCCATGGCTGTCCGAGAAAGCAGCCCCTGGAGGGTGTTTCTGGGCCCTGCTCTGGCCCAGCCCCACACCCACCCCCCGCCAGTGCCACGCCAAGCCTGTGCCTGCCAGATGCCCAGGTGCATCTGTGGGCAGGGACTGCTGACCCACCGAGCTGCTGACAAGCTTAATCCTCTTCCTGCACCCTTTCTGCTCATCCGCCTGTCTCTTCTCCTGCTGCAGGGACAGGGTGGAGTGGTGGTGTGCCTGGGGGTGACACAGTCAGTCTCAACCCACACCCTCTGCCCTGGAATCCCCTAAAGCCCCTGGGCAGACATCCTTTAGGTCAGGGTGGGGGCAGACAGCACCTGGGGCCCTGAGGCGCCCTGACCAGCAGCCCCTTCCCCAGCTGTGCTGCCTGCCCTCGCAGTCCTGACTGTGGCCTAGGTGGTTGACAGGTGTCAGGAGTGACTGCTGGGCTTACAGCAATGGGACAAAGATGCCTGTTGGCACCTGGGCCCAGGGGCTGGCCAGACTTGGGTGGGAGGGAGAGGCCGAGGGCCCTGGCAGAAGCAGCAGCAGTTCCGACCCAGCCAGGAGATCAGGGGCTTCTGGGCACAGGGTGGGGGGATGGGCAATCACTCCCGGGCTGAGGAGACACAGGCAGCACTGGGAAGAGCCGGAGGGACGAGACCCCAGGTGGGTGCGAGCCAGGCTAACGCCCAGAGCCACAGGTGGGGAGTGGTGGGGCCACAGGGAAGGAACCCGGGTGGGACTGGAAAGATGGAAGGTCTGAGCTCATCTCCATCTCAGGGCCCCCTCGTCCCTTCACCACCTCCTCCCCGGGATGGGCCTCGTCCCCGAGCCCCCCGGCCTGCTGCTCGCTGTGCTCCAGGGCGGCCAGCAGCCCCACGGGCCTCCGCTGGGCCAGCACCAGCTCCCGCTCATACTCCAGGTACACACTGCTCTCGGCATCCCCAGCGGCCAGTGACCCTGGGAGAAAATCAGAGGGGGCAGGGAAGCCCATGGTGGGGGTCAGCCTGGGAGAGAATTAGAGGGGGTAGTGATACCCCAGGGCGGGTGAGTCAGCCAGGGAGAGAATTAGAGGGGGCAGTGATGACCAAGGGGTGGGGGTGGGTCAGCCAGGGAGAGAATTAGAGGGTGTAGGGATGCCCACTGGGGAGGTCAGCCAGGGAGAGGATTAGAGGGTGTAGGGATGCCCACTGGGGAGGTCAGCCTGGGAGAGAATTAGAGGGTGTAGGGATGCCCACTGGGGAGGTCAGCCTGGGAGAGAATTAGAGGGGGCAGTGATGACCACGGGGTGGGTGGGTCAGTCAGGGAGAGAATTAGAGAGTGTAGGGATGCCCACTGGGGAGGTCAGCCTAAGAGAGAATTAGAGGGGGCAGGGATGCCCACTGGGCCAGGGGGTCAGCTGGGAGAGAATTAGAGGGGGCAGGGATGCCCACTGTGGGGGTGGGTCAGCCAGGGAGAGAATTAGAGGGGGCAGGGATGCCCACTGGGCCGGGGGGTCAGCTGAGAGCTCTGGTCATCGGGCCCAGTGGGCATCTGCTGCTGGTAGCAGCTGCACTGGGTGCCTGTGCACACCCCTGTGCCCCCACCAGGCCCCCACCACACCCCGGACCCCTGCCCCACCCCATCCCACCACCACACCCCTTGCCCCGGCCCCTGCCTCCACACACCTGCAGGCCTCTGCTGCAGGCTGGGCACATGCACATCCAGACTCTTGGCACTCCTGGTTCGGAGCAGGGGGCCAGGCAGCACGGCCCCCGTGATGGCACCATCTCCCAGGGCTGGGTCTGGGGCAGCAGCCCGGGGGGTGGGCACAGGCATCTGGCACAAGAGAGGTGGTTGGGAGAGGCCCTCTTCCCTACCTCCTACCTGATTTCTGTGGCTTCTGGGGAGGTCAACCCCTCCCTGGTGGGGCACAGCTGCTGGGCCACCTGGGAATTCACCATTCTTTGAGCAACACGGAAGAACTGGACCACGTCCCGGATGACGGGGCCAAAGCTGTTGTACACCTGGACAAATGGACGCACCCAGGACGGCAGCTGGGCTCTGGCGTCAGTATGGGCGAACCTGGCAGGGGTGGGGCTGTCAGCAGGGTCCCCAGGCTGCATCCACCACCGGCTCAAAGCCCCGCCCGCCTAGAGCTACATGAAGATCTGGGGTTTGCTGGCTCAGGTTCCCCTCGGGTGGGTATACTGAGCAGGCAGACTCCTCCCTGGGAAGGCCAGAGCCCCTCGGGCTGGAGAGGCTTTGCGGAGATGCCCGTGACCTTATTCAGCTTTGGGTGGGCTCAGGGTCCAGGGTCCAGAAGGGCCCCGGGCCTCGGCGGGGGCGCGGGAGGATGGCACACCCACCTATGGTCACAAAGGAAGACAGCCCCATAGTCCTGGCGGTGCCGGATCACCCGCCCGATGGCCTGGTTCACAGCCCTGGACGCCTGCTGCCGGTACCACTCTTGTCCGGAGAGGAACTGCATGGGGGCGGGGTTATCAGTGGCTCCCCACCCACCCCAGCTTCTAGGCTCCCTGGCGTCTCACCTGGGTCCCAGCCCCCCAGCCCCTCACCTGGTCCCTGGCTCCACTCTGGCCCCTCATCTCATCCAAGAACTGCATCTTGAGGACGATGCGGGGGTCCATGCGTGGGGGATACGGGAGGCCCGTGACGATCACACCACGGCCATTCATGTCTGCAAAGTCCAGCCCCTCACTGGCCTGGGGATGGGGACAGGGAGCTGCTGGGTGGGGGTGCTCCTCTCGCCCACTTCCCTCCACACCAGCCAGGATCCTGCCCCTCAGCTGAAACCCTCAGCATGGGAGGGGGTGGTGGGTCAGGTGCCCACTCTCACCCCACGAGGGGTCTGCAGCCCCGGAACCCTCATGACCAACACCGTTCTGCCCTGTAGCTGGGAGTGTGTGACGGGGAAGCCTGGCCCACTCCAGCAGTCAGTGACCATCAGCCTTTCCCCGTCAGCATCTGCTGGATAAGACGCTGGGGCACGGGCTTGCCTGGGGCCCGTGATGCCACCCGACCCTGCAGAAGCCTCACCTTCCCCCGGCACACAGCTAGGAAGGTGGCCCCGCTGGAACCTGGAGAGGCGACCTTGGCGTAGTAAGCATCAATGACCTGGAAGGGGAATCAGTCAGCCTGGGATCAAGGCCCCGCCTGCTGGTCAGGAGGGAGGCCAACAGGATACTGGGAGCATCTAGAAAATGCAGGGAACCCCAGGGCAAGAGGGGCGCTGGGGGGCCTGGCTCTCAGCACCTCCTCAGACACAGGTCAGCACCCACGCTCGGGAGCTGCTTCCTCAGAGCCAGCGCAGCCTGGCCAGGAAGGAGCCGCCCAGGAAGCCACCACGGCTCAGGGAGCTGAGCCTGGTCAGGGGCAGCTGGCTGGCCTGGGCCAGGCCAGGCCAGTGAGACAAACCTCGGAGAAGCTGCCTTTGCTCCTGGGCTCTGCAAACATCGGCTTTAGCTCCTCAATCCTCCGGGCGAAGTCGTGGGCCTGGGGGAAGAGACCCGAGCATGGCCACCCCGCACCTGGTCACTGCTCCCCTCATCCGAGGTGCAGGCAGGAGGGTGCAGCCGTGCTCTCTTCCCACTGCCCACCCCTCCTGGACCTTCTGCCGCCTGGGTGCCCTCATCCTCCCTCATGCGGTCACATGGCACGTTGGGGAGAGGGCGCACCCGCCAGAACTCCAGGCTTTTCTCCATGACGGGGTAGGACGGGAAGAAGACCAGCAGTCCGTGAGGCACCACGCGGGCAAGGTTGCCTGGAAGCAGAGGCCAGTGGCCTGGTCACGGCTGGGGCACTGAGAGGCTCCCAGGGTGGGGTGTGGGCAGGGATGGGGCAAGGTCACCCTTGGGACAGGAACTCACCCACGGCCTTCCCCAGCGAGGACAGGCACTCGTCAGAAAACCTGCAGGAAGCCAAGGAGGCAGCTGCCATGAGGGGTCTGGTCCTTGGCTCCAGGCCCCAACTTCCCTCAGCCAAAAGGACGGGGGTGGGCTTCGAGGCCTCGGGCTGGCACCTGCTCCCTGCAGTGCCTGCAGTCAGGCTGCCTGTCTGGCCGAGGACTCCGGCCCAGGACCACCTGGGAGCCCTCACCCCTACCCTGCAGCCCCACAGGGCAGTGGGGACAGCAGTGACAAGTGGGCATCAACCTCTGGGTACAGGGAGGGTGTCAACCTCTGGGCACGGGGAGGGTGTCAACCCAGGTTCCCAATGCTCACCTTCCCGTCTCAGCAGGATGCAGCTCCTGCACTGGCCCGAGCCCCTCCCTGTCTGTGGGACCTGGCCGGCTGCACCTCTCCCACACCCCTTCCAACACGATCCACACACTGACTGCCAAGGCCACAGGGCAGCCTCCCCCCCGCACGCTGGCCGCCCAGGCCAAGGGGCAGCCCCAGCCCTCCTCTCACACACTGACGGCTGGGACGGAACAGCTGCATGAGCACTGCATTGCTCTTGGGATACGGACATCTTGGGCATTCCGATGCCACTGCAGATGGTAGACCCCACCCCCAGGAGCACCAGGCCCTCCGCTCAGCCCACTGCCTGTCTACAAGCTCAGCCCCAGCCACCCACCTCCCCGCATGCCTGCCCCCCTCCCCACCGGGCCTGGGTCTTACCGTCTGTCAAACGCGGAGCTCAGCTGGGCCCCATCAGGGCCTTTGGGGATGATCCCCACCCAGATCTGGTGCTTGTCAATGACATGGGGGTTCTCCAGGCAGACTGGGAAAGGGCTATGCAGCAGGAGGGGCGGGCTGGAGTGGCTGCACGGGCACTCACTGCCCCTCCCACGGTCCTAAGCCCCAAGCACCCAGGGACCCCCAGCCCTGCAGGCCGGCTTCCTGCAGCCCCCACCCTGCCCCACCACTCCCCCTTACATCTGCATCTCCAGGGCAAAGGAGGACACAGGGGCCAGCGTGCCGCTGGTGAGGATGAGCGAGCGGACACCCTGGCACACAAGCTCTTGCATGCTGTGGCCGGGGCTGAAGCACCAGTAGCTCAGCACCTTCCCTGGGGAGACATGGGGATGGGGCTAAGGCAGCTTCCCTGGCAGGGGTCATGCATGGAGACGGGGCTCTGGCCTGCACGGCCCTCACAGCCCTTAGGACCACTTGCTGTCTCCGTGCACCAGACGAGAGCAATATGCAGTCGGGGTGGCCGCAGGGGGCTCCAGGCCACAGCACCTCTGGCCCAGCCCAGGCTGACTGCAGGCACCCAGGGGTAGAGTGGGTGAGCTAGGCCCTGCCCCACAGAAGCTGGCCTAGCGCAGCCCCAGGGTGGCAGGGGATCTCCAGAGAGAACAGCCCACCCCCACCCCGCACTGAGGTGGGGCTGTGGCTGAGAATACGGAGCCCCACCTGAGGGCCATGATCTGCTCCTCACCTGCTGATAGCCTGCCCCAGAAAGGAGGCCAAAGCAAGGATTGCAAAAGAGGGCTGGTTCCCAGGCCCTCCCGGATGCCGGGAGGCCCCGTGATGACACGAGCCACTGCGTCACCTCAGGAGTAAACAAGGTCACTGGTTCATGGGGGGCCCAGCAGTTCCTAGAAGTGCCTGACTGGCTGGCTGGGGGGATGAAACCTCGAGGCCCAGCAGGGTGAGCCAGGACCATGACAGCCCTCTCCCCACGCCAGCATGTCTGGGATGTAAAGCATGACCTCAGACGTGACTCTGAGGCTGAGCCCAGGCCAGCAGGGATGACAGCAGGCTTCCTGAAAACAGGCAAAACCATGTTCTGGCACCAGACCTGACCAGCAGGGCCACAGGCCCGAGGCCGCCCCTCAAGGCAGGGACCTGCTGTGGCAGTGGGGTTCTAGCGCCCAAGGCGGCCCTTTGGGAGAGAGGTGGAGAAACCTCAGAAGACCAAGTGACTGGAGCCCCTCCTATAGCACCCCACCCCTGCAGAGGGGTGTTCCCATTTCTCTGCTGAGCTCCCGGCCCTTACTTGTCAGTAAGACCAGAGATGAAATAATTTCCTGTCAACACCCAGCCAGGGAGGGGCTGTTTCTGAGAATCCACAGGATTTCCAGGGAGAGGGAGCCATGGGGATGCTATCGCCCTCCTGACCCGAGCACGGTGGGGAGCTGGGGGTGCGCCCCAGGTTGAAGGGGGGCTGAGGAGTGGGGGGAGCACAGCCTGCAGGGCTGGCAGTCTGTCTGCCTGGTCTTGGCCTGTCCGTGTGTTAGCAGACAGGGATGGAGGCCCATTTACACAGGTCTGGCAGTGACTTTCTGTGCAGACGTGGTGGGTACCCAACAACGAGCCTGTACCAGCCCTGGCGGAAACACGGGGTGTGGCTGGCGGGGTGGGGGTCTAGGTTGGAGCCTACACTGCTGGCACACACGGGCGGCCCTGGGCAGGCCCCAGTGCCACCTGGGCCTCCTGAGGGTCCTCATAGCTCCGACAACTCTGATTTTTGGGAGGGCAGCAGGGAGGAGCCCTGGAGAGGGCCGGACACAGAGAAGGTGGCTGGGCCAACCCCGGCCAGGAGACACCCGTGGTGAAGGAGGGACAGGCAGTGCACAGGGGCCAGGGGCGCATACCCCACCTGGGCCGTACCTTGCTTCCTGGTGGCCGCCACACTCCAGGCATCCGACCTCTGCGCTCTCTGGCGCTGGCTGGTGTCGGGGTGGATGTGCACCTGCAGGGGCAGCACGTGCAGCAGCCAGGCCTGCCCAACCCCCACTGCACCCGCCAGGCCCTGGGAGGTCCCACGGCACCAAAGCGGTTCCTACCTTGTAGAACTTGGAAGCCCCTTGTCCCCCACCTGAGCCAGGGCCGCCCTCAGGTGAGTCGGTGCTGAAGACCATCTGGAGGGTAGAGGCCGGAGTCAGCGCGGCGTACAGGAGGGCAGAGGAAGTCGCTGGTGGCCTCTGCTCACCCACTGGCGCCGGCAGCCCCGTGGTATGGCCCAGCACGGCCCCGCCTCCACTGGACACGCTCGGCGCTCTGCCTCTGGGCGCCCTCCCTCCCCCTTGCGCCCCAACCCACAGCAGGGAGCTGCCTCTCCACACACTCCCGTGACCTCACAGGACAAAGCTGATCACTGGGCCACAAGGAAACTCGCCCTCCAAACCTTCGTAAAAACGACAAGAGGCCATCAGAGAACAGCTGAGAATAAGACCCGTGACTTATAACACGTGCCCACAGTCAACACGAGAGGCGGTGTGGGGGGGAAACAACCCCCAAGAAGGCAGACCACGCGCTACGAGGGGCGCGAGGGCACGGCGCAGCCACGGCGCGTGAGGGCATGCCGCGCCACACGCCGACTCAGCAGGCCCAGAGCCCAGAGGCGCGTCCTGGCCAAGCCCTGCGGTACCACCCAGAAGGGAAACTGGAAACCCCACAGGAAGACAGAGAGGAAAAGGGCAGAGCAGCCTCAGGCAGAGCCGGGGGTGTGCAGGTGCGGCCCGGACAGGCTCCCTGTAAGGCGCAGAGAAAAACCGAGGACGAGGCACACTGCTGGCCTGGTGCTGCTTCAGGTGTGCTCAGCCGTGATGTGTGTGCACGTGTGTATGTGTGCATGCACGTACACGTATATACGTGCACGTCAATGTGCGTGCATTTGTATGTAGGCACGTGTGTGTAAACGTGTGTGCATGCATATACGTGGGCACACGTGTGTGCATGAGCACATGTGTGCCTATCTGTAGCACAGCGCTGCCCGAAGCGCAGCCTGCTGACTGGCACGGCCTGCGGCGCGTGAGCACAGAGGCGAGGAACCTCGCCATCAGCACAGCCACACGCCTGGTCTCGCGTGTTCCCAAAGCAGCAGCCCGTGGGGAGGAGTGGCAGCAGCTCCCCTTGCAGACCCCGTGCCACCTGAGGCTCTTAACAGGCTCCCGCCAGCACCGAGGGCAGGCAGGGCCTCACACACGTCCCATCCTCCACGCCACCCACAGCTGTTGTCCCATCCTCAGTTCGCCTCCCACTTAAACCGCACGGGCACACCAACCTCAACAACATACCCGGGGGTCTCTGCCGATTCCTACTCTCGGTGCCATCCACGCATCCATGGAGCTCAGTGGTACCAGCCTGGGGACCCTGTGCATGGCACTGCACGGCCCAGCCAGCCTCTGCCCGCTCCCTCAGAGAGGACGCCCAGACCATGGCCCACACTACATCACAAGTCCTGGGTACAAACCCCTCTGGCCAGTGTGGGAAGCCGCGGCCAGCACCGCTCCCCCTGCGCAGGCCAGTGGGGGAAGCCGCGGCCAGCACCGCTCCCCCTGCGCAGGCCAGTGTGCGAAGCCGCGGCCAGCACCGCTCCCCCTGCGCAGGCCCTGTGCCCACAGCAGCAACAGCACCAGCGTCCCACCTGGGCTGCTTAATGGAGCTGGCACCTTGGTGCGTTTCTCCCCACACCGCCCCCCTGTGGTGCCTGCTTCCCTTTCAGCTGGGTTGTGGTCACCTCCTCCCAATCTGCCCCACCCGCCAACTGCACAATTCTGTGTCTCAGAGACTGCTGCGGGGGGGCAGGGGACATTTAAAGAAGCCCGTGCCCACTCCTACTTCCACATGCTCCCACACGCGTGTCTGAGCTCAGAGTGCTGCCCCAACAGGCCACCTCCGGGAGGGCAGCCCCAGAGTCATTTACAACGACCTCAGCCTCACAACACAGAGAAGACAGCAGAGGCCACGCGGAGCCACCAGCGGTACCATCCAGGGCCTCTGGACACCGTGTGGGGGTGGGCGAGGACCCACCTGGCCCCAGGTGACTAAGAACAGCCCTGCACTTGGGACACGGACGTGCTGAGGGGAAACCTCTTGGGGCGGAGACACACATCTCTGCGTGTGTCACTGTGGGGGGGTGTGTGTGTGTGTCTGTGCCCAGGCAGGGAGGGGTGGGTGCCCCCCTCACACACGGACGCTCAGCACTCGGTGGGGGTCAGGCAGCTAGCTGTGCTGACCTCAGCCTCTCAGGGACCAGCTGCCGGCCGGCCGGCCCGCCCTCACCTGCCCTCCGAGGGCGGGCGCCTGTCGGACGCCCTGGGCGGCCCCTAACTCCGCTCACTACACCCCCTCAGCCGAAGGGGGCGCGCAGCAGCGCCGCGTGATGACTCACCGCCAGATGAGCAAGCGCCCGGTCATGCTTCTGCCTCACGCTTGCAGGGAGGGCTGAGTCAGGCCGGCGGACAGAACCCCGAGCCGCGGGGGGCTGAAGGCGGGGCAGCCTGCTCCAAGCACTTGAGGCCATTCCTGCAGACTGGGCACTGGGAGCTGCATGCCGGGGGAGGGGCTGCATCCGGCCGCGCCCACCGCCCACGGGCTGCTCACCCCACAGCCAGGCTGACTCAGGGCCTGCTCACCCGGACAGCGGGAGGAGACGGAGGGCAGGGCCCCCTGCAGGGGCAGCCCTTCCTGTTCTAGCAGCCAAGGACACCCCAGAACAGGGCAGCTCCACTGGGCCCCACAGGGTCGGCAGGCAGGAGCCTTCAGCCAAAGGGGCCGTTGCAGCATGGGGAGAAGGAGCATCCCCGGGGGGAGAGCTGGAGGACACAGCCTCAGCCCACCAGACGCTGAGGCGGCCACCCTGGCATGCCTGGCGCAGGTCTCCACGGTACAGATGAGGAAACTGAGGCTCAGACAGGTGAAGCCACTCGCCACCTGCCCCTTCGCTGCCATAAGCACCCTAGCCCCTCGGCCCCTCGCCCAACCCTCTGCTGGGAAGGAGGCGCTGACCCTCCCCAGGCTGTTACACACTGTCCCTGCTCCTCCAGTGTCCCGACAGGGCAAAGCAGCCTCAGAGCAGGTGGCAGAGAAGCGCTGAGGCCTCTCTGGAAACACAGCTCCAACGAGAGCCCAGGAGGGGCTCTGTGACCCTGCAGCTGCCCCCATCCACGCCGGGTCTGGGGGTGCCAGACACACTCGCTGATTCCAGACTCCCAGGTGACGGCAGCCCCAGCACAGTGCGGCTACGGCCCTGCCTGGGCACCCTGTGTGACCCTCAACATGTGCCCTCTGGCCTGGTAGATGTGCGGTGACAGGGTAGACAGGACACCGGGGGCAGACGGTGTGACAAAGAGGCTGCTCTCTTTCTGGGACAAGCTCACGGAGCCATGGCACCTGCCTGTCCTCTGAGGAGCTGCTTCAGGAAATCACGCTAAGAAAAGGTGGAGCCATTGACATGGACGGGTCAGCAGAGGGACAGGCCCAGAAGCCATCTCAGCCAGTTCGGCAAATGGGCGGGCAGGGCTGGTGACATGCCAGCCCCCACAGCCAGGCAGCCTGGGCCCACTGAGGGCACTGCCCGCGCTCAGCTGGGCCAGAGCTGCACTGAGGCCTGTGCAGACTCCCAAGGCGACAAGAAACAAGCTGGGTTACTAACACGGAGCCTGTGTCCTGCCACCACCCCGCCCCCCCGACTCCCTGACAACCCCGCCTGCCCCCCACTGGGAGGGACGAGCATCCTGGTGAGCAGCCCTACCTGGATGATGTCCAAGAGCTTCTGAAGTCCCACTGTGTTGGTGAACACCCCGGCACCTGGAGGGCAGTGGCACAGGTGACTATTCCACATGACCAGCCAGGCACCTGGACCCATCTCCCCAGCCGAGCTGGCCACAGAGCTGGGTCCCTGCCCCCAGAGGGTTGGCATGGCACACACACCAGGCCCTGTCACATCCTGGCTAGGGGCGGACACAGGATACGCCCAAGAAAGGGCTGCTCTCCCAGGAGAATGGGTTGGCCTGAGGAGCTCGGGGGACTGAAGTGGCTCTGCAGTCATATCAGCTTGGGAACACTGCAGCCATCCCATCCCCAGAGCTCAGGGCACATGAGGCCAGGTATCCAGAGGGGAACGAGCAGGCAGGGAGGCTGGCCATGCCCACACCCACGGACTCCACACGCCTCAGCTGCGTACTCTCACGGTGGGCCGGCTGGGAGGCAGCTACAAGGAGGCGCTATGAACGACAAAGCCGGCAAAGCACCACAGAGAACCCACAACGGCACGGCCCCACAGCACTGAGGCCTCCACGTCCCCGTCGGGAAGGTGACAACGTGTGCCAGCCTGACATTAGCCGGAGGGGTCGGCAGAAACAGGCGGCCAGAGTACTGGCAGTGAGGGGCACGAGCAGCCCCATCGAGCGGCTCAGTTCAGGGTGGGACCCCTCCTCTGCTTCAAGTGTGTCTGCGTGACACTTCCTGCCGGGTCTACCACAGCCGCACAGCACATCCTTCCACGGGGGTGGGGGCGAGGTGACTCACGGCCCGCCAGGTGCTGGATGACCTGGTCCAGCGAGTCCAGGATGCAGCTCTTGGTCTGAAACGTGATCTGGGCTTCAGCAAACAGCTCGAAGATGTAGCTGCCGAGAAGGGGGAGGGGGCTCAGGCCAAGAGCAGCCACAACTCCCTCTGTTGAGGGCGGAGGTGGTGGAGGCGGCAGAGGGGAGCGAGGCCCCTGGCAGAGCCCCAGGAGGAAAGGGTGAGTGACCTCGGGTCAGAGGGGAGGGATGGGCCAGGTGGTTGTCAAGGTCGTCCTGGGGGCAGTGAGTCTGAGCAGGTTAGGCTTTCAAAAGAGCTGGAAGAGGAGAAAGGTGGAGTGCAGAACTCAAATTCACCTAAAAAGACCAGACTTAATGGTGTGACTGAGACTAGAGAAACCCCAGAAGACATGGCCCCCAGACTCTCTGTTAACCCAGAACTAAAACCATTCCCGAAGCCGACTCTTCAAAGATTAGACAGGACTATAAAACGTAAAATAATACTTGGGAAGAGTGTGCTTCTTAGTTCAAGCAGATACATGAGACTAAATGGGCAGCCTGTCCAGAGGCGAGATGAGAAGGCAGGAAGGGACAGGAACTGGTTGAATGGACACAGGAAATCAGGGGTGGAAAGGAGGAGTGTGCTGTCACAGTATAGGGATTGCAACCAGGGCCACATAACGATGTGTGTACAAATTTTTGTGTGAGAAATCAACTTGAGCTGTAAGCTTTCACTTAAAACACAGTAAGTAAATAAAAAGCTTCCTCAGTCTCCCCTTTGGTAAATGTCCCAAGTCCCAAGGTGCAACCTCTCCCAGTCACGTTTCCAAAGATGCTTGTCCACAGTCCCACTCCACCTCTGCCCTGTGACCTCCCCCTGCATCTTCCCCATGTGGCTCTGCCAGGCCTGCTGTGAACACCAGGCCCTGTGAGTATAATAAATCTTTCAATGTTCCAGGAAAAAAAAAAAAGCCAGAGTGGGAGCCACAGGAGAAGACGCAGGCAAAGCCCTGCTGTGTCTGTAGAACGGGGGTGGGGGGTGACCCACGGGAGTAGGGTGCCTGGAGGAGCGGGCAGGGCGGGAGGCTGAAGGGCCAGGCCAGAACCTGGAAGGTCACGGGAGGCTGAAGGGCCAGGCCAGAACCTGGAAGGTCGTGCTATGGAGAAGGTAGCAGCTCAGCAAGAGGGAGGCGGCCGGAGCCCAAGGACACGGCCCCGCACCCCACAGACCTGGCCAGGACCCCAGCTAAGTGGGGCCTCAGGAGAGCTGGCCCACAACACTGGCTACCAGAGTCAGGAGCCCTGCATACATTCAGGACATCGGGGCCACCACAGGTCCCGGGAGACAGGCTGAGGTGGTGGCCATGACCATCGAAGCGAGAAGGTGCCAGAGACCGAGAGGAGTGCGGTGAAGGTGACTCCACAGCAAACAAGGGCCTGCAGTTGGGAGAAGGGGGCTCCAGGTGCGCTGTGGGAGGGTGGTGTGTGAGCTGTGTGTGTGCGTACGGTGTGCGCTCTGTGAGGATACTGTGTGTGTACTGTGTGAGCTGTGTGAGGGTACTATGTTAGCTCTGTGAGTGTACTGTGTGAGCTCTGTGAGGGTACTGTGTGTGTACTGTGTGAGCTGTGTGAGGGTACTATGTTACCTCTGTGAGTGTACTGTGTGAGCTCTGTGAGGGTACTGTGTGTGTACTGTGTGAGCTGTGTGAGGGTACTATGTTACCTCTGTGAGTGTACTGTGTGAGCTCTGTGAGGGTACTGTGTGTGTACTGGGTGAGCTCTGTGAGGATACTGTGTGTGTACTGTGTGAGCTGTGTGAGGGTACTGTGTGCGCTCTGTGAGGATACTGTGTGTGTACTGTGTGAGCTCTGTGAGAGTACCGTGTGTGTACTGGGTGAGCTCTGTGAGTGTACTATGTGAACTGTGTGAGAGTACTGTGTTGAGCTCTGTGAGGATACTGTGTGTGTACTGTGTGAGCTGTGTGAGGGTACTGTGTGAGCTCTGAGTGTACTGTGTGAGCTCTGAGGGTACTGTGTGAGTTCTGTGAGGGTACTGTGTGAGCTCTGTGAGTGTACTGTGTGAGCTCTGAGGGTACTGTGTGAGCTGTGTGAGGGTACTGTGTGAGCTCTGAGGGTACTGTGTGAGCTCTGTGAGGGTACTGTGTGAGCTGTGTGAGGGTACTGTGTGAGCTCTGTGAGTGTACTGTGTGAGTTCTGTGAGGGTACTGTGTGAGCTCTGTGAGTCTACTGTGTGAGTTCTGTGAGGGTACTGTGTGAGCTCTGTGAGTGTACTGTGTGAGTTCTGAGGGTACTGTGTGAGCTCTGTGAGAGTACTGTGTGTGTACTGGGTGAGCTCTGTGAGGGTACTGTGTGAGCTCTGTGAGTGTACTGTGAGCTGTATGTCTACTGTGTGTGAGCATACTGTGTGAGCTGTGAGCTCTATGAGCTCTGTGAGGGCTGTGTGAGTACTGTGTGCACTGTGAGTGTACTGTGTGAGCTGTGTGTGTACTGCGTGAGTGTACTGTGTGAGCTGTGCATGAGCTCTGTGTTGTGCACCGCATGAGCGTACTGTGTGAGCTGTGAGCTCTGAGTGCTGTGTGTGAGCCGTGTGAGCTGTGAATGCAGTGTGAGCTGTGAGTGTGCTGTGTGAGCTTTGTGTGTGCTGCCATGTGAGCGTACTGTGTGAGCTCTGTGAATGCACTGTGAATTTTGCGTGTGTGCTGCATGTGAGCTTTGTGTGTGAGCACTGCGTGTGGTACTCTGTGAGCTGTGTGAGAACTTTGTGTTTGCTGCTTGGGAACATACTTGGTGAGCTCTGTGTGAGCTTTGTGTATGCTGCGTGAGCATACTGGGAGTTGTGTGAGCACTGTGTGAGCGCTATGTGAGATTTGTGTGCTGCGTGAGCATACCTTGTCAGCTGTGTGTGTGAGCCTCGTGTGTGCTGCATATCAGTGCTGTGTGAGCTCACTGTGAGCTCTGTCAGCTTTGTGTGCGCTGCATGTGAGCTCCCTGCGTGTGAGCTGTGTGTGTACTGCGTGTGAGCACGCTGTGTGTGAGTGAGCTTTGTAGGTGCTGTGAGCTGTGTGAGGGCACTGTGTGAGTTACGTGAGGTCTGTGTGTGAGCTGTGTGAGCAGTGTGTGAGTGCCATGTGGGCACTGTATGAGTGCTGTGCGGGTACCGTGTATGAGCACCGTGAACACTGTGTATGAGCACGGTGAGCACTGCGTGAGCTGTGTGAGCTGTGAGCACTGTGTGAGCTGTGAGCACTGTGTGAGCACTGTGTGAGC